GAGGCGGCGTGGTGCGGACGCGCGCTTCGGAGTTGGAGGGCGGCGCCCAGGACCCTGGTGGGAGAGTGTTGGCGCCGCGCGAGGAGGGGCGGGAGGCGGTGGAGGGAGGCGCAGGCCGAGGGAGCCCGCATCGCAGAGCTCGAGCGTGAGGAGCTAGGGGAGCACGACGCCCGCCGCCCGCACCCCGCCATGGGGCGCCCCTGGAGCCCGCGACCGCCGCCGCCCGTGGTGCTGCTGCTGCTGCTAAGTGCGGGTGAGTGTCGTCTGTGCGTACGCGGAGCCTGCACCGGCCAGGCGCGTAGGGGGAGGTGGAGGTGAGCGTGGAGGCAGGGTTCGGTCACCGCTGCCCAGAGAGGGGGCAGCCGCCGCCTCGTCCCGTGCGTCCGTCCACCGGAGCCTGGGGAACTGGAGGAGGAATCCAGGGTGCCAGGAAGGACCTGGGTTCCGTGCGTAATACAGTGTCTGAGCTGATGTAGACTGAGTGCCAGCAGTGGCCTGGTACCCAAGCGTCTGCTCGCTCCCAGTTCCCTCTTCCCTCTTTTGAGATATGTCTGCGCAGTCCCAGAACAACCCACAGCCAGGCCACTACCACAACTGCGTCTCTAGGAAGCAGGGAGAATCTAATCAGAAGCAGGACTGCCATTTGCTCCCCGTGGGCTTCAACTCTTCCATCCCCTTTAAGGACTAAGGAGGCAGAAACTAGGTAAAGATGAAGAAAGAAGTTTGTTAGAACTGACTTGCCACAAATCAAGGTTATAAACTACTGCCCAGAACTTGCTAACGTTATTATTTAGTTGTATTGTTGAGAATATTACCACCAACCCACGGCCCCCACCCCCGGGGGTATTCTTAATTATTATTTTAACTGGTGCAGAAACTCCCTTTTGGGCAGGATGCCCTTTCTCCTGCAAGCACCCAGCACTGTGCTTTGCCATGTGGGTAACAGATACATGATAGATGGTTTGTGGAATATATAGTTCAAGGCCTGGCTTTAGAACCATGCCATTCCCCCAAAGAAGTGGAACCTGGGATCCATGATCCCTAGAAACATGCCCATGACCTTCGGGAGTGGAATGGATGCATGGAATCTCATTGTGGGGCTCCTGCCCAGAGCCTAAGTGGAGGGAAGCCTGAGGCAGAGACCATGTACATTGCCCCATGTTTTGTTCCACAAGGCGGTACTGCAGAAATGCAGTTTTGGCAGTGAGACAGATATGAAAAGGAAGGAAAACACTGTTCTATCCAGACTGACTCCATCAGTAAAGCAGGGCAGCAAGACATCACCAGTCTGATTTGACTGCCTAGGAAATTCTACTAATCCTAAAGGTATGGCAGCATGTCAGGATCAAGCGTAAACATTAAACACCTTCCTCATTGGGCTGGCTGGTTAGCTCAGTTGGTTAGAGCACAGCATTATAACACCAAGGTCAAAGGTTTGGATCCCAGCACAGGCCAGCTGCCAAAAAAAACACCTTCCTCCTTAACTAATGAAGTGGAATGGGTGATAGGTCTATTTTCCACAGTAATACTTGACAGCCGTGGTTTCCGGTTAAGTAGCCTCACTGAAAATCCTTGAAACAGTTATCTAGGAGCTGCTATGTAGGGCCAAGTGCTCCCCAAGAGCACAGACCAACGGAGAGTTTTAACAATTGAGCAGAAAATACTACTGCTCAGGGTCCACCACAGCCGAGCACGAAGGAGATCCTCCAATTCACAGTCTTGACTCAATCTTGACTTGCTACATCTCCTGGTGCATGTTACTTTTCTTTGTTCTTCCATCTGTAAAATGGGTACCTATGCTATGGGCCTCACTGGGGAGAAACAAATGAGGATCTTTTGGCCTGATGCATACATAGCTTGATATGGCCCATTTGCGCCTACTCATTCTCTGATGAGCCAAGAAGAATACCAAGTCAGGAAGACAGGCTGCTGACTAATCAGTATGAAATAGAGTGACAGTGGCAGCATAAATGAGAAGGGGAGGCAGGTACACTAGACAGTGGTAGGGACTGTAACAATGGAAAAGGCATGACTTATCAAAAGGGGGCAGTCTTTACACAATTGCAGCTGTTACATTGTGGGCATGTTGGCCCAAGTGTTTCAATTTTTCAAAAGAAATTGGAAATGCATAGTTTTATGTGAAATCTTGTGATTTTTATTTTTATTTTTATTTATTTATTTATTTTTTTAAAAGATGACCGGTAAGGGGATCTCAACCCTTGGCTTGGTGTTGTCAGCACCACGCTCAGCCATTGAGCAAACCGGCCATCCCTATATAGGATCCGAACCCGTGGCCTTGGTGTTATCAGCACCGCACTCTACCGAGTGAGCCACGGGCCGGCCCAAAATCTTGTGATTTTTAAATGTTGGTCACTATTTACAACTTTAACAAAATATTGTGTAAAAATGCAAAAGGGAAAAAAAGAAAGAAAGAAAAGAAAAATACTGTGTTGACTAAAGAAAACACATCTACTCACTGGATCAACTTGTGACCTTTGCCCCAGATCAAGCCCTGTGTTTCACGGTCCAGGAAACACAAGTTCCACCCTGCTGTGATGAAATTTAATGTGACCCGTCACCGAAGTTCTTTATTGAGCTGAAATGCCCCTTAATCCACCACCGCTCAAACTTGGTGAACTATCAGCCAAGAAATTAGAGGTTTTGTTTTGAAACGGTTACTACTCAATATTAAGTATTTATTTAGTCCAGTTACAGCAATAAGACTTGAACTTGCTACATTTCTTTCAGCAACCACTTATTGGGTACCTACCTGAAGTAACTTCTTAAACTTTTAGGATTTTTCAACTTGTTTAAATCCTTGTCCCCTTCTGGTAAAGATTTAAAAATCTCATACCTTGGGCCGGCCCGTGGCTCACTCGGGAGAGTGTGGTGCTGATAACACCAAGGCCACGAGTTCGGATCCCATATATGGATGGCCGGTTGCTCACTGGGTGAGCGTGGTGCTGACAACACCAAGTCAAGGGTTAAGATTCCCTTACTGGTCATCTTTTAGAAATAAAAATAAATAAATAAAAATCTCATACCTTTCTTAAATACTTTTTGAAATTTCAAAAGCTTCTTTAAAAAATCTTTCACATAGGGCCGGCCTGTGGCTCACTCGGGAGAGTGTGGTGCTGATAACACCAAGGCCACGAGTTCGGATCCCATATATGGATGGCCGGTTGCTCACTGGGTGAGCGTGGTGCTGACAACACCAAGTCAAGGGTTAAGATCCCCTTACCGGTCATCTTTTAAAAAAAAAAAAAAAATCTTTCACATATAAAATCATATATGCTTTTTTGAACTATGCATTCACTTCGGAAATTCTGATATACTCCCAAAAGGGGGTTATCCTTTCTTTTCCCCATTCCCTCCTTTGAGAAATTATGGTTTAATCAAGTCTCCTCATTTTGTATTTTGTAGTTGAAGAAACTAAGGTCCAGAAAATAAAGTAAATTGTCCCACGTAGGGCTGGAACTAGGGTGAGGCAAGTACAGGGAGTGCCAAGAAACTGAATAGTCAAGATAAAGATAAATAGTATTTTAATGCAATTTTTTTTGGTGGCTGGCCAGTATGGGGATCTGAACCCTTTGACCTTGGTGTTATAACATCATGCTGTAACCTACTGAGCCAACTGGCCAGCCGTCCTTCAATATATATATTTTTAAATTTATCAATATACAATATAGTTGGTTTTCGTGTCCCTTTACCAATTCTTCCTTTTCCTCCCTCCTTCTCCCCCCCACAAGAAATATCATATCTGTTCATTTGTCTTAACAAGATCAAGGGGGCCGGCCCGTGGCTCACTCGGTAGAGTGCGGTACTGATAACACCAAGGCCCCGGGTTCGGATCCCACATAGGGATGGCCGGTTCGCTCACTGGGTGAGCGTGGTGCTGACAACACCAAGTCAAGGGTTAAGATCCCCTTACCGGTCATCTTTTAAAAAAAAAAAAAAAAAAAAAACAAGATCAAGGAATTGTTGTGATTGTTGTGACTTCTCCCCCCAACCCCATTCGTTTGTATATTTACTTATTTATTTTTATTAGCTCCCACAAATAAGTGAAAACATGCGGTATTTCTCTTTCTGAGTCTGGCTTATTCACTTAATATAATTTTCTCTAAGTTCATCCATGTTACTGCAAATGGTAGTATTTCATTTTTTTTTTAATAGCAGAGTAGTATTCCATCATGTGATATGCCACATTTTCCTTATCCACTCATCCCTTCAATATTTTTAAAAATAGAAATTAATGCAAAAAATCCATGATGAACAAAATATCAAAATTTTAAATAGAGTAACCATGCCATGCTGAGGCATATTGGAGCCTGAGGAAAAAGGAAAAATCAGTAGTGGTCCTGTCTTTATTTATGCATTGGATATGACACCAGTTCTCAAACTTTAGGGACCATCAGATCTCTAGTGAACTTGCCAAAATTCAGATTAGCAGGCTTTATCATCAGAGATTTCGATTCAGTAGGTCTAAGGTGTTGCTCAGAAATCTGCATTTTAATAAGTAATCTGGTTGATTATGATATGATTGGAAGAGTAACTGAACTCTGAGGTCCCTCCCAGTTTTGGGACTCTTTGATTTTAGGTAAAGGAAAGGGGCCCAGAGAAGTTACAGAGGTGGCTCAAAAAATGTTACTGTCGGGCCGGCCCGGTGGCGCACTGGACAGTTCGCCGCTTGGGAGCGCATCGGCGCTCCCGCCGAGGGTTTGGATCCCATGTGGAGACCGGTTCCCGCTCACTGGCTGAGCGTGGTGCGGGCACAACACCGAGGGTTGCAATCCCGTTGCCGGTCCCCGGTACGGGCGCAACAGCTAGGGTTGCGATCCCGTTACCCGTCAGTAAAAAAAAAATGTTACTGTCATTCATTTGTTTATTCCTTAAATAGTTGGAGCTCACAGTGAACAAGCACTGTTCTAGGCACTGGAGATAGAATAGTGATAAAATAGACATGGAAATCTAGAGGAGGAGATAATAAAAAAGTAAAAAATATCAAATAGTGATAAGTGCCATGCAGAGAATTGGAGTAATAATGTGTTACAGTGACTAGGAGGCTACTTTACATGGGTTGGTTGGGGAAGTCTTTTCTGAAACTTTAAGCTGTAATCTGAATTACTAGGAGGGACCAGCCATGTGAAGAGCATTCCAAGCAGAAAGAAAGGCTAGGACAGAAACTCTAAGGTGGAAACAAGCTTGTCCTATTCAGTGGCAACCAGAAAGAAGGCCAGTGTGCTGGAGGCAAGTGGGAAAGGAAGAGAAGGTTAGGAGGTGAGGATAGAGAGGTGGGCAGGGACCAAGTTTTACAAGGCTGTGTAAACCAGGGTATATAAAGTAGACTTTAACCTATGTGCAGTGGAAGTTGTTGGAAGGATTTGAGGTGATCTAACTTAACAGTTTTACTTATTTTTTAAAGATGACCAGTAAGGGGATCTCAACCCTTGACTTGGTGTTGTCAGCACCACGCTCAGCCAGTGAGCGAACCGACCATCCCTATATAGGATCCGAACCCATGGCCTTGGTGTTATCAGCACCACACTCTCCCGAGTGAGCCATGAGCCAGCCCGTAACTTAACAGTTTTAAAAGATGATCCCATATAATACCAATCAGCAGTAGAATTATGTTATATTTACACAATGGAATGCTATATGGCAATGAAAATAATATATTTACAACTACACTTAACAGTATGGGTAAATTTCAAAAACAACATTGAACAAAAGAAACCAAGATACAGAAAGCTCATATTTGATTGAAAAATAGGCAAAAATAATCTCTGATGTTAGAAATCAAGGTTTGGTTTCCTTGGAGGGATGATGACTGGAAGAGGGCTTTTGGGTTACTGGTAATGTTCGGTTCCTTTATCAGGATTCTAGTTACACAGGTGTATTCCATTTGTGAAATTCATTTGAGCTATATTTTTGATTCATGCACTTTTCTGTAGGTAATACTTCAATAAAAAGTTTTTTTTTGTTTTTTTGTTTTTTTAAAAAAAAGATGACCGGTAAGGGGATCTTAACCCTTGACTTGGTGTTGTCAGCACCACGCTCAGCCAGTGAGCGAACCGGCCATCCCTATATGGGATCCGAACCCGGGGCCTTGGTGTTATCAGCACCGCACTCTCCCGAGTGAGCCACGGGCCGGCCCTTCAATAAAAAGTTTATTACCAAAGAAGATGTACAAACGGCTAAGAAGCACATAAAACTAGGCTCAACATTCTTAGTCATTAGGGAAATGCAAATAAGAACCACAATGAGAAACCACTTCATATCCACAAGGATAGCTATAATTTTTAAAAAAGCAAAACAAAAACAAAAAACCCCAGAAAATAAAAAGAGTTGGCAAATACGGGGAGAAACTAGAATCCTTGTACATTGCTGGTGGGAATATAAAATGGTTTGGCTGCTGTGGCAAACAGTAGTTTTGGAAAATTTGGCAGTTCCACAAAAAGTTAAACATAGAATTACCGTATGAGGCAGCAGTTCCACTCCTAGGTATATACTCCCCCAAATCAAAAACACACGTTCAAACAAATACTTGTACATGAATGTTCAAGTTCTATATAAGCACTATTCATAATAACCAAAAGGTGGAAACATCTAACACCAAGGTCAAGGGTTCGAATCCCCATACAAGCCAGCTGCCAAAAATCAACAAATAAACAAAAGGTGGAAACAACTGAAATGCACATCAACCGATGAATAGATCAACTGTGACATATCCATACAGTGAAATACTATTTATCCATAAAAAAGAATGAAGTACTGATACATGCTACAATGTGAATGAACCTCAAGAAAACTATGCTAGGTGAAAGAAGCCACATACAAAAGATCGTATATTATATGATTTCATTTATCTGAAATATTCAGAATAGATAAATTCATACAGACAAAAAGCAGATTAGTTGCCAGAGGTTAGGAAGGGAGAATGGGGGGTGACTGTTTAATGGGTATGGGTTTCTTTTCGGAATAATGAAAATGTATTGGAATTAGTTAGCAGTGATAGTTGCACAATGTGGTGAGGGGCCACAGGCCTAGGCCACGCACCCCTGACACATACAGCCAGCCCAGCGATGACCACCAAGCTGCAGCAAGAAGATCCCCAGGTTCCCGAGCTGGGATGGGGGGGGGGTGAGGGCTTTTGCCACACCCCCCTGACATCTGCACCCAGCCTGGCAATGACCAAGCCACTGCTGGAAGCTGTGGGAATGAGGGGGCTGCCACGGGCCTCAATCCTGCCCCTCCTCCTTCCTCCTTCTTCCATCCGTTTCCTTCCCCTTTCCCCCTCCCCCTCCTTTCCAACTGCTCCACAACAACATCATAGAATGTAAAAAATAATATTAAAATTACATGAAATTAACTAATTAAACATGCTCTTATCATAAAAAACAAAAAAACAAAAGAAAAGGTATCTAGATGGTGTGAGAGAATGGTCTTGGAAGATGGAATCGGGGAGACCAGAAAGCAGGCTTAGCAGTAATTCAGACAAGAGTTGGTAGTGGCTTGAGCTAAAGAGGTGGTAACATACATGGAGAAAAGTGGATAGATCCCAGATATGTTGTGGAGTTAACAGGACTTGTTGGATTGAACACAGGATGTGAAGGAAAGAGAAGAATTAAAATGATTCCTAGATTTTTCACTTTGAACAGCTAGGGGGATGATGGTGTTCTATTACCCCATGATGGGGACCCTAACCAGGATGCAGGGGCTTCCTCTAGAGCTGATCTATAACGAACCTTGGTATTTCTGAGTAACAGGGTCAAATTACCTTTTTTCCCCCCTTCTGGTAATAGCTCCCCACCCTAACCCCAACCAGTTCCTACCTTAAGTTACTTTTAAATGACTTTTATTTATTTATTTATTTATTTTATTATTTTTTTTTTTAAAGATGACCGGTAAGGGGATCTCAACCCTTGGCTTGGTGTCGCCCACACTGCGCTCAGCCAGTGAGCAAACCGGCCATCCCTATATAGGATCCGAACCCGTGGCCTTGGTGTTATCATCACCGCACTTTACCAAGTGAGCCACGGGCCGGCCTTAAATGACTTTTAATGGAAGACTCAAAGCTGTTGCTAACTCTCATTTAGTAGTCCCTTGCCCATTCTCAACCCTCTGTTCCCTTGCCCATTCTCAACCCTCTGTTCATGATACCAGCCCTACCCATGGTAAGGCTCTGCCCAGAGCCTTCTTCCCCTGTGCTTGGCGGGGTCATCAGGCTCAGCTCTAAATAACTGTCCTCTTCCTCCTGCAAGGAGGCTGAGCAGCGTCTCTTCAAATTCCTGTTTCTTCTTGGGCCTGATCTGTTCCATCCAGACTGTGACAGCTGCAGACTGTCCAGACCTGCTGGGCTTCTTTCCCTCCATACTTCTTTCTTTTTTTTTTTTGCTCTTATTTATTTATTTATTTATTTTATTATTATTTTTATTTTGTCTATATACAATGTAGTTGATTATTATGTCCCATCACCGAAACCTCCCTCCCTCCTCCCTCTCCCCCCTCCCACCCAAGTGTGTCCCCTCCATTTGCTTGTTGTAAGAACTTCAAAAAAAAAATAATTGTGGTTGTTATATCTTCCTCTCCCCCCACACCGGTTTTTTTTTTTGTTGTTGTTGTTGTTT